AAAAGGGAAAAGAAAGGTTAGTGACCGAGTAAAAGGCCTCTACCTCTTCCTCTGCCAGTCAGCTTAAATTCTACTGATATTCTGGGTATTGTTCATCTTAGCTTTCCTGATTTTTAGCTTTAATTTAGCCATTAAGATTCAACATCAAATTTCCTTCCTAAAATTGAAAATACAAATAAAAAATTAAGAAAAAATACAATGTTGAGAAAGGCTGTGGCAATTTTTATTATAAAATTTGAGTTCCTGAGATTCTCATTTGTAACAGCAACTATACTCCAAACTTTTCTTGAATATAAACCCATATATAGCTTAGTGTGATACTTTCTTACGAATGCATTTAGGTGTTATTTATAATTGGACAATTAAGAACAGTTGAAGGATCTAGGTCCATTGAAAATTAGCAAAATTAAGGGCTGGCAGAATGGCTCAAGTGGCAGAGCACCTGCCTAGAAAGTGTGTAGGCCCTGAATTTAAATGCCAGTACCATCAAAAAAAAAAAAAAAAAAAGAAGAAAGTTAGCAAAATTACCTATTATACATTTTTACAAAATCAAATCACCTTTTAGTTTTTAGTAAGCTATTTTATTTGAACTAGGGTCCTAAATCCAAATTGCTCCCTTTACGGTATTTCCTGGCTTATCTCAAGTTACACATGCCATAGGTAACTGCTCTTTCACAAGACAGTTACTGTTCTAATACAGTAGACTGGTTTTGGGCCCTCAAACCAGAATCAATGATTGGTTGTTCTCCTAAGTGAATTCATACATTGGATTTGCTTCTCAGCAAGTACTAGTTAACATTTTGGGTCTAAAGCACATTTGAGTTACTAAAAGGAAGCAAAAGAATTCCTAGTCAATTTTTCTAATTTTCAGGTTTTTAATGTCTTATTGTTCTCTAATGTTTCATGTCTTTGTGGTATCTTCATTTCAAAAAGTTTGCTACTGAAAATAAGTATAATGTTCTTGCTTGATACAAAACAGTCAAAACTTGTTTTTGTGCACTCATCACAATGAAAGGCTAATATTAACAATAGATACCAAAGAAAATATTTCTATAGTTAGCCCCAGGTTGCCCTATAAAAAAGAAGAGACCCCCCCTCCCCCAGAAAAAAAAGAGAAAAAAGAAAAGTTCATTCCAGGGATGGGGATGAAGCTTAGTTAGTAGAGCACTTGCCTACCATGCACAGACCCTGGGTTTGATCCCTAGCACTGAAATTAAAAAAACAAAAACAAAAACAAAAACCATTAATTCCATAGGCTAATCAACTGAGCTTCCTTGAGGTGTCCTTTGTCAGTTGTTCTCCAAGTGTGTCCCAGAACGAACAGCATCAGTATTACCTGGGAACTTCTCAGAAATGCAAATTCCTAGGTCCTAACCCAGACTGAATTACAAGTCTGAGGGAGGGGTCCAGCAAGTGTTTTAACAAGATTCTGATGTCTGCTAAACCAATTTGCTGGCTGCTCAAAATGCTTGAGAGACAAGAGTTGGTGGGAAAAATGAGGTTTTTTCAAGGGCCAGCACCCTGAGAAAAGATCATCTTGAGAAACTCAGTTACACTCTTATAGGGCTACATTGTTAATGGGGCTATGAGCAAAAAGGATACTGGGGGGTGTGTCTTTTTTTCTTTGGCAGGAACATGCACTCAACTTCTACCTCCTGGGGCTAGTTCCTGTAATTCTTTAGACAAACACATTTCTCAAAGTTAGACATCATGTTACACATTCTGATAGAATCTGAAGGTCATCAAGTATTCTGGGTTCTGTAAATTTAAAGATTATTTAGCAGCTAACTTTAGAATTCAGAGGATTAGAGATGTGCTTCAAGTAGTGCATGTATGCCTAGCAAGCTCGAGGCCCTGAATCCAAACTCTAGTATGGTCAAAGAAAAACTGAGAGCGCTGGGCAAAGGGAGAGGAAGTAACTCCGCACACAACTTGCAAAGGAGCAAGCACTGTTATGTAGAGGGGGGCTTCAGTGCAACAGATAATAAAGGCAATTTGCTGATGTATTTTGCTAGCTTTCCTGATCTCTTATCCCCTCCACTCCCAATCCCATCAAGGGCTGGTACAGATTCCAAAAATAGAACATCTATTCCAAAAATAGAGCATCTTCTATGCTTTGTGCAATCCAATGTTGCCAACTACAGAAAGCTCTCAGGGAGGTTAATTGTATCTCACACATAAAGGTTAGTGTATTTTAGGTTAATTGTATTTAATGTAGTCTGCTGGGGACCAAATGCCTCACTTCAAAATCTGGCTCCACTCATCAGCTATTTCTCATCTTGTTCTTCCTTCATTTCCTCCACTTAGGAGAGCAATGTAGTAACTTCATGAGGTCATAGAGCTATCACGACTGACAGCTAACATCTTACAATGAAATTGTTTTCCCAGGATACATTTCTTTAGAAATTTTAGTTGAATAATTGTCATATTAAGCTGTAGGAAAGGAGAAAAATTTAATGCTGCCATCCTACTTACCATGTCAACAGGGATTAATGAAGTAAAGTTGATAGGATATGGAGTAGAATTTTAAGATACCCATTAAGTTCAGACTGTATTTATGACAGCCTCTGCATTTATGGTTTTAAAGCAATGTACTTCTAGGCCTCTAACTGTAAAGGATCTCATTAACTAGTGGTGATAAGAGTTTGATAGTTTTAACTCCTGCTCTTTCTCATCTGAATCCATGACAAATTTTATTAAGAACTACTCTGCAGCTCAGCACATTACACATGAAAAACATGTACCCTTGGTCTCCCTTTCCAGATGTAATTAACACAAAGGCGAGTGTTAATGACTTCAAAGCTATTAATTTTCTCCAATGAAATCAGGCTGAACTTTCTAATTCAGGTATTTATAAAACGGCACAATGGAGTTATAAAATACTATTTTTGGAAGAACATCTTAATGGCTACATGGTCCACTTAAACCAATCAACCCAGGTTGAAGTAAAGATGTGAATTAAAATCCACTTGATGGGTGAAGAGTTAGGCCTCAATTCTTTGGCTTAGTAAGCCTGTTGGCTTATTTAACACAAATAATGGACAGTCTAGAAGTGGACCCTTCGAATTCCAAAATCTTTAGTGTATGACAATGGCAGCCCTTTTAAAACAAGTAATGACTACACGAGCCCTCATTTTTGATACATAGCCAAGATTTCTAGCTTTTACATGTATGGATAATAGGGTTTAGTTTTCCTCTGATGGTCAGTGTGATGTAGTAACATATATTTGGCCTTTGTCTGTGATTCCTAGCAGAGCTCTTTAAACCTCTGGAATATTGTTTTTATTTATAACAATGTAACAAGCCCTGTTTGACCTTATCCATTTATGCCAACAAGCTGTCTACTGGTCTCCCCACTGAGACCCTGGGGAGAGAAGAGGGCTGGAGATTGAATTGAGTTCAGTCACCAAAGACCAACGGTTTAAGCAGCCCAGGTTATGGAGTTTACAGTGTGGTGCTGTGTTGGTGAACACAACGTGCTGGGAGGGTGAGCAGGTAAGTACATAGAAACCCTGACTGCCTACTTGACACTACCACCTTACTTATTCATCTCATCCATTTGATTGTTCCTGAGTTGCATACTTTTAAATAAAACTGCAATTGTAAAGTATTGTACCTTTCTGAGTTGTTCTAGGGGCATTATCAAACTTAGGGGATGGGGAGGAGACCACGAGAACCCCAAATGTGTAGTTGGCTAAGCATGAATACTGGTAGCCTGTTGACTCCACTTGCAGGGGGCAGTGTTGTTGAGCTGAGTATTTAACTTCTTGGAGGTAGGGGGGATCTGTTCTAACCTGGGTAGCATCAGAACTGAATTTCTGGATTCCCAGTTGGTGTCCGAAATTGTTCATTGGAGTAGGGGAGATAAAGGCTCTCCTATGACCAACATTGTACTCTACTGTTCAGCTATCATACTGGAGGCTTAGCTAAAAACCCCAGTAGGAATACAACCTAGTAGGCAAAACTTCATAGAAACAAATACCCCAAAGCACTTGGAGCAAACTCACATTAATTTTAAAAAGCTGTGTCACACTATAGTAAAATGTTTTTCAAATTGCTGTTTAACATAAGGCTTATCCCCACTGAGTAGCTTTCTTCTTCTTTTCCAATCAAATTCACTGGTATTCTGAGCACAGTAACAGTCATGCCTTTTGGGAAAAGGAAAATAAGCTATACCTGCTTCTCAAATCTGCCTCGAAGACTTTGCCAAATGTGAAAACTCAAATGGTAATTTTAACACTTTGATATGCCTTTGCCACCTTGCTGCCAGAACTCTTAAAAGAGGATTATACTTAAAAATAAACCTTGCTTCATACCTTGGCTTAAAGGCACAGCAAGAGCTATTTTCAGAATTCAAAATTCACTAGATACTAACTGGCAATTTACATGTTTGAGGCCACTATCTGCTAGGAATTTAGGAAAACAAAAACACAAAAACTACAATTAACTCAGGAACACAGGCATCCTAAGGCAAACTAAAAATTCAATGTGATAGAATTTAATTTTGAGAAAACAAAATAAAAATAAGCCTTGCAGTATCCTTAACTGCCAAACAGAACATACTTGGAGTGTTTATACACTTATTTTGATCTTAAAAGAACAATCTTATTACTGATACATCTAAATTTATGACTTCTCAAACTGTTTAAGCTATTCTCTTTAGTATATTTCATGTCATCATTTAACGTAAGAATCTCCAGTTTAATTGATTTTTTAAATTTAACACAGTAATTAGTACAGAAAGTGTTTGTTCTCTATTAATATCAATACCAATATAAACAGGTTCTACTAACACTTGCTTTTGTGCCTCCCATGTAAGAATTACAAGGAATATAAACTTCCTCCTTTCTTTTAAGCTGGTTTTTGAGGTAGGTATGTATTAAAAATTTTATATCTTAATTTATGAATGAGTCATGTTAATACAGATGTAAAAAGATGTGAGAAAATATCTCTGAACGTTTACCGACTTCCACACTGGTAATTAAAAAATAAGAGTCATGAACACGTAATTTTAAAGTTTACTTTAAAAATGTAATTATCTCCCAATATTTAACAGGTAAAGAAAATAGAATATTGGTTTATTTTACGTGGTTGTTATAGTTTATTTCCCAAGTAATACTGATTAAAAATATTTACACATCTACTTTAAAGTCCACAGTTTAGCACTCTTATTTGTATGGCTTTAAAAGTTATAGCACAGAATCTTTACATTAAGGATTGAGGGGAAAAGATTCCATTAAAAACAAAGCCTGATATATTATATACATGTTTTCCTCTGTACTTTATTTTAAATACATTAATTTTTAAATGATGCTCATCTTTTTTTTTTCTTTTCATCTGGTGGTAAAATCCTAGTGCAACTTCTCATCAAAATAAAGTTTACCACAGATGTAAATGAAGTTTCCCAATTGAAAATGGCCATGCAGCTGCCATTAAATGAAATTTCTCAAGCTAAGTTAAATGAAAAGGAATTGGCAGTTGTCATTATAAGCAAAACCATGAAGTACTATAGCATTGTCTACATTGCTCCTTACAACACAAACTTTGAAAGAACCAGATGCTTTATAGAAGTTTAGTTGGTTTTGAAAAGGCACATGGGTGTGTTTTTTTTTTTCTTTCACTTTTTTACATTCTAGAAATTTTGCTGCCACCACTCTGTGTTGCAGAGATGGCATCTGTGACCAGGGGTAGACAAAAATGCTGTTCAAAAGAAAGCCAAACCCAAAACTTAACTGCACAGTAACAATGCACTTTCTTCATGCAGCCTTGTGTTTCCTATATATTCAATTTCCTAACATGCATTAGAATACATAAAACTTGTATTCTAATGATTTTACATTTGATTTTATAATATGGAAAGAATTTGAGGAAGGACATGACCTGGGGAAGAGAAAAGGGATCCTTACCACAATGAAAATAGATACATTCGTACCCAACTATATAGTAAGAATATAATCCATTTAAGTTTCCAGAAATATACTTCTCAAAGTTCCCCTTCATTTATAAGAATCCCCACTCTGTGGCATTTACTGGGGGGGGGCGGGGCATCAGTTTGTTTCCATAGAAACAGTTCAGCACAACAGGAAATAGTTTAACTTTGGTCCACTTATCTTTTAGCTTAAGGACAGTTACACTGCCCATAATCAGTTCAAAATCCAACATGTAAACTTAAAAATATACTCATTTGTTACTTCATTCTAAAACTGGCATAGCTGTTCTGTCATTCTCTGCCTTTTCATCTTGTGAATCCTCTGTCAGTTTGGTCTCTAAACCCTCAGCACCTTCGTGATCCTCCCTGGGAGCCTCAGCAGCATCTTCTTCGGTAGGCTCTCCTTCCTCTTGGCTCATGATTTCAGGAGTCACGTGATCCAACTCTGCTTCTAGAAGCTCAGTTTGTACTTCCACTGGCATCTGATTTACCCGTTCAACATGTAGCTCCTCCACATGTACTTCAGTACCTTCTTCAGTGTGAATTCGACCCACTTCTAGGTAACTCACTTGGACCTGATCTGGAAGGTCACTTATATGTGAATCATGTACTTGGCTGTCCTGGAGTAGATCTGGATGGACTTGTTCCACAGTCACTTGTGCTGAATCCACCTGGACCTGAAGCAGTGGTAACATATGCACCTTCCCAACTTGTTCTATAATAGTCATTGATGTCACTGGTTCAGTTTGCACATGTGTTTCTACTGAAAGGACTTCTTCAGTTACTAGACGTTCTGAAATATTGTGAGCATCACTGAGATGCCTCCTTAATTCATTTCCTTGCATAAACCACAAGTCACATAGAGTACAATGGTTAGGTTTATCTCCAGTGTGTATTACCAAATGATCTTTGAACTGGTCCCAGCTGTTAAACACACTGTTACAGACCTGAAAAAACCGGATATATGATGTTAACAATACTTATATTCAAACTGAAAGAAATATGGATACAATCTCTAAAAGAGCTAGGGAATTGGCTCAAGTGGCAGAATACCTGCCTACCAAATGTCAAAGGCTGAGTTCAAACTCTAGAACCAGCCAAAAAAAAAGCAAACACATTGATAATAGGTTAAAGACTATGAAACGGTTACAAATATGTTATCTGCAACATATAGTCCAAACTATTTCATAATGTTTTGTTTCATTTGATCTTTTTAGCCAATATACTTAACAACTTAAATACATTCTGGGAACCATTTCAATATATCATTGTTTAAGTACCATATAAATTCTTGGATACAAAGTAGCAATATAATTTCTCTAATAATTTCAAGATTTAGGACTATTACAATATTTGGGATAAAAACATACACTTGTCATAGAAGATCCAGTGACAGCTGGTTTGCCTCCTCTGTCCCTCTCCCAAATGCTGATGTGATAACTGCTCTACAGTTAAGAAAAACTAGTTTCAGGCTACCTGTTATTTAGGACATGATATGATATTATTGACATTAGTGTCATACAGTGTTGAGTAAAACAAAAAAAACTGTAAATCTGTCTTATAAAATTAACACCATGATTTTCTCTTATTCTCATTTCTTTCCAAGCCATCAGCTCTATATTTTTGCTTGAGATTCTCAGGTACTACTCAGTTTATGATGGAGTTATACCCTACCCATTGTAAATATTATAAGCTAGAAATATTATAAGTCAAAAACTCACTTAATATACCTAACCAATCATACACGACAGCTCAGCAACACAGTATACTGTAGAGCATGGGTTATTGTTTACCCTTGTGATGGCATGGCTGACTGGGAGCTGTGGGTTGCTGCTGCTGTGCACTATTAATAGAGAGCATCCTTCTGCATCACTAGCTCAGGAAAAGATCAAAATTTAAAATTTGAAGAATGGTTTCTACTTTTGTACCAAAGTCAAACCATGGTAACTGAGGGACTGTAAACAGAGTTCTCTGGTAAGGACAGAATACATTCACCTACCTGGCATTCGTAAAGCTTCTTCCTTCCCTTTTTTGCACCCACTCCAGTTTGGCATGCTGTGAGGTGACACTTGAGGGTGCTATTTCTAGCAAATCGCTCATGACAATTTGGACATTCGAAAGGCTTTTCACCTATTATAAAGAGGAAAAAACCCACATTGATACATTAAGACAAACAACAAAAACCAACTTATTTAAGAGTTTATTCATTTATTTACTGGAGTGCATGGGTTTTGCACATGCAATGCAAGTGTTCTACAGTTTCTTTTTGAAATACATGAAAATAAACAAGTGTAATGCACTGGAGACTTGTTACAGAAGAGACAGCCAACTGCAGCAACACAAATGAGAGGAGGAAAACTTACTCCAGTCAAAGGTACAGAAGTATAAAGAAGCATGGTAAAAAGAGGTGAGAGGGAGGAATCAGTTATGACTACTAGATCTCTGGCTTAGAATACCAATGAGGATAAAGAACTCAGGAGTTCATGTTTGGAGTGGGGTGTACTAGGAAAGATTAGGAAACCAGTTTTGTGTTTGTCAACAGACAGAGTAGCGTGGAGTGCAGAGTACCCAGTGTAGAGTGGAGGTGTCTGATAAATGTCTGGAGTCACAAGGTGGACTGATGCATTGGTTAGATACATATTTTCAATGGTAATAGTAATACTTCTGATGTGAATAAAATTTCTCAGAGTATGTTGTGTGACCACAAATTGAAAGATAGAACCTAGTGAAATACCAAGCTAAAACAGGCCAATAAGCCTAGAAATGGAAACAGAAATGGAACTGGCAAGAAGTAGAAGGAAAGAATACTGAGAGAAATTACAGTTGCCAGTGGTATGGTAGGATTATAAGGCAGATTTATCTGGGAGGAGGAAGTGAGTGAGAAGCCCATCAATGAAAACAGTCAGTAGAGAAATTCTTTCAAGAAGGCCTGGGAGAAAAGAGGGGAGGCGGCTTGAACAGTAAGTAAATATGAGTGTTCTTTAAGTCAAGAGAAAACACCATTATTTACTAATTTGCTGTGAGAGAAGAAGTCAGTGGAGAACACATCAACACATAGAATCGAGGTTGGCATTGAAGAAAAAGGAAAAATCTGTTTCTCTGGAATAAAAGAGGAGACACAGATGGATACTGTTAAAGTTGCAGGTAGGAAGACAGGTATATTATCTGCTAATGGTAGAGAGAGAGAGAGAGAGGGGGAGAGAGAGAGAGAGAGTGTGTGTGTGTGTGTGTGTGTGTGTGTATACACGCAGGAGTCCTAACTACTAGAGTGAAAGTCTGGAATAAAAATTAGAAAAAGAGATAAATGAGATGCCAAACTGCCTAGGGAAGATCTGAGATATTAATTTCTTCCAGCAGAACTCAGCAGCCAGGCAATACAAATAAACAACTGCAAAGATTCCAGAATAGAGGGTCTTTTAGAGCAAGTAGTGTATCTTAAAACCAGAAAATGTAATTAGTATATAAGCAAAGGTAGATAACAGCAAGGTCCAAGTAAGATAGAGAATGGTACAAAATTGTACCTTTTCTTTCTCTTTATTTTTCAGTGGTGCCTCACCCAGGCCTAAGAACACACTCTACCACTGAGCCATACCTACAGGCAATAGGGGCTTCTGAAGAGATCTATTTAAGTACCTAAGAGATTCGTTTTTCATTGTGTATCACTGAGATTTTCTATTAAAAGTCAGTTTAATAAGCCCAGTGAAATCCAGAAACAGTAAAAGATTAATTCTATTATATATATATATATATATATATATATATGCAGTTAGTTTTCATAGTACTTTCACCATTTTCTTGTCACAACACTGCAAAGTAGGTATCATTATCTTTATTTATACAAAGAAGCCCCAAAATAAAGTGACCAGTCAAGTTCATCATAATGATAAAGGTCAGAATTGGAGTCAGAACTGAATTCTGATTCCTCAATCCACATTCTGTCTGATTCTACACTTTCTCTCTTAGAAAACAGGGAACAAGTATTTGACAACATAGTTAAAAATCACTTCTAGGTTGTCTTTCACCACACTGGTATCTTTCAGGCACAGCTGTCAATGGTCTGGTATTTTCTTTCACCCCTCAACTGTATACCCTTTTATTTTTTTTTAAGTTAAGAACTCCAGTTCATGTAGACACCCAAATCACAGCTAGAAGTCAATATCTCTTTTACACCCCACACCTCCCTGATTACCAAATCCTGTGAATTCTGCCTATTTCATATTACTCAAATTCCCATCTCTTTCCCACTTATTGCTGCCGTTACCCAACCTTCCATTCTGATTTAGATTACTCTGAAAGACTCATTAGTTAGCAGGTTTCACCCCACTCCAATCTATCTTGCCAGTCATCTCTCTAAAATGGAAAGCTGATCAGATCACTTCCTGATTTAAGCCAGAAGACAAAGTTACTTTATGTACTAAACTGATCCTCCAGTAGGCATATGGTTCTAGAATTTATACAAATAGTCAAGCTAATTATGTTACCAAAGTTATCTCACATCATTGTGAAAGGAAACAGACATACAATATAAAGTACTTTAGCCCTCTATTCTGCTGTCCAATCCAAAACAAAAAGCACATTTTAAAACTTCCAAAGTGGTTTCTGTTGTCCTTTATTGAATAGATAAGAGACCCAGAATCGTTCAAGGTATAATCCAAACTAATCTGTAGCACTTAAGACAATCATTAGCTATAAGATCTCTTTCCCCCTTAAACTTACTCTACCTGTAAGACGCCTTAGTATGATGCCTTAGTGCATGGCACATGGCCAGATCTTCCAATCTCTTTGGCCTTATTTCCTGGCATTCTTCTACTTGGACACATCCCTTCGCCCTATGCACTACTAGCAGTGCTCCAAACAACTTGCTTTCATTCATTACTCTATGCCTGTGTATATTTCAGTTCCTTTACATGGAATGCCTGTTTCTAGGCCAACTTCTTTTCCTGTAAGAGTCACCATCACAGGGTAACCACCCCTAGGAAGCCATCTTTGTCTCTTCCATCACAAACAAGCAGAGCAAAGCAGGTGTTCCTCCAGGATTCTGCTCATCACTATTTGAGCTTTAGCCTATAACAACTATGGTTTTATGGGCTCATCTACCCCAACTTAACAAAACTACTTGAGACAAGGACTCTAAAACTGCTTTATATCCACGGCCTGGCAAGATAGCATTATCAGTACTATTTTCCAAATAGAAACAAAAGTTATTCAGACATGTAATAGCTAAAACTTTGCAAACCAACAATGTGCACACTTTCACACATGAGAAACCAAACCACTAAACTAGCAGAAATATGCAGAATATGAAAATGAGTGGGGTGTATTGCATTTTGCAAGTGGGAACAGGCTTGTCTCCTGTTTTCGCAATTTGTTATATGGGGAAAACAATCTATCCTTTAACTTAAACTCAACTTAAAACTACCTACTTACGCTCTTCCTGAATTTACTGAGTCATTGGCCACAGACCTGCAACTATCTTGTCACTAATTACTAGTACAGTGACTAAAGTTAAAACAAAGTTCAGTTTTAATTATGTGCTAAACTGATCCTTCAGTGGGCATATGGATCTAGAATTTGTATCAATTAAGTTACTTAAGTTACCTCTCATCATTTTGAAAGCAGAGAAAGTCTTACAACATAATATACTTTAGCTCTATAGTCTGTTATCCAACCCAAAACAAAAAGTGCAGGATATGTAAAGCACACTTTAAAACTTCCAAAATGGTTTCAGTTGTCCTTTTCCCAAACAGGTAAAAATCACTAGATAACGTTTCGGGTAAAAGATAACAGCTCCTACTTTAGTATTCCTAGAAAATAATATAAAAGCAACTGATTACCTGTTGGGGTACCAGAAACCCTTATCAGTTGGTAATCAGTACCAACGGATTACCTGTTGGTACTTCAATCCTTTTGCAAAATTAACCCACAGCACAAAAATGTTTACAAAAGAGCAATAAAATAGATGAATATTTGCTTTGTAAGTACTAAAAAAAAAAAAAAAGTTAACTATAGGCAGTTTCAAATATAGAAGATTTATATATATACATATATATGCGCATATACATATGTGCATATATATGTATATATATATATATATATATATGTAAAGATTTAATAGATGCCTCCTACTCAAACTAGTACCTTAAAGCTTTTTAAATCCATATTGACCCTTAAGCAAAGTATGACATTCTTTTGTTATACGTGTATTAACTGTTTCCAAGTACTGATAGCAAGAGTTTGAATGGACAGGGATAACACTGAATCTATCCTCTATTTTAACTAGTGTTTATCAAATGACTTTGCCCAGAGAGATCTCTTTCATTAAAAAAAAAAAACTGAAGCTGGGCATGGTAGCTCATGCCTATAATCCCAGCTATTTGGGAGGTAGATATCTGGAGGACAGCAGTTTGAGGCAAGACCAGCAAAAAGTTTGCAAGACCCCATCTCAACCAATAAAAAACTGGTTGTCATCCAGTTTTGCACCTGTCATCCCAGTTATGCAGGAAGCAACAAATATGAGGATTGAAGCCCAAGTCTACCCAGGCCTAATCGTGAGATCCTACACAAAAAATACCTAAAGCAAAAAGGGCTGGAGGCAAGGCTGAAGTGGTAAGAGTGCCTGCCTAGCAAGCAGTAGAGCACCTGCCTAGCAAGCATAAGGTACTGAGTTCAAACCCCAGTACTGCCAAAGAAAGATTTTTAAATAATGTAGGATACTTACGTTGTATCTACCAAATCAAAAATCCAAACAACCTTAATCACTATATGAAACAAGGACTTGGGAGTGAATGACCAGAAGTTGACACTTGGCGCTAGAAGTAAATGCTCTCTCCACACTCTTGTGACAGTGATTTAGGCCTACCCAAGATTCAGGTCATTGGTGGTAGATCCTATACCTGGCCTAGGAGATCTAGAAAGGAAAGTTTGGGAGATGGAAGCAAGGACAGTGAGAGGAAGCAGAATTGTGAGGACCAAGAGGCCATGAGGCAAACCTCCCAGGACATGGGACAGTAAGTATAAAGACATTAACCCCTTTAGCCCCGTTGGCTGTCCTGACACTTTTGCTATTGACAGAAGTGGAGAGAGACACACATTGCCCATCTACCAAGCCAAAATAGGAAATGTAAGTAAAAATTATAAGCATGTCAGAGATTGCTTGTAAGTAAATGAACTTATCTTTGTAACACATTAACATGAGAAATGTAAAAACAGCAATAGTAAAGTCCCACTATCAATTAGGATTTAATAATTTATGATCCTTAGTATATAAACCACAAATTTTTACATATTTCTTTGAAAAATATAAAAACTGACAAGCATAAAAGTGACTTTCAAAATTGACACTGATGTACATTTAAAGCAACAATTTTTCAACAAATTAATACAATAGCAACGTGTACATAGCCTGTACTTTAGAAAACAAAAAACCCTAAGAATTTAGACTTCACATTAATACAGAACAAATATACCTTTAAAATAAAGCATTTGCCCATTACCTGTATGTTTTCGAAGATGCTCTTTAAAATGTCCAAAGTGGTCAAACTGTTTCTCACAGTACTGACATATGTGAATTTTTTTCCCAGTTCTTTGCTTCTTACTGACTCCACCTTCTTCAAGGTGGTAACAGTTTAAGTGCTGTTTCCATGCGCTCTCACGAAGATACCTTTTATTGCATATTTCACACTTGAAACTCTCTGTGGAGTGTGATTTCATGTGTTCCTTAAAATGGTAAAACAATTTAAATGAACGGTTACATTTCTCACAATGGAACAAGTCCTTCACATGTGACAGCTGAAGTTCCACAATTTCAATACCTTCTACCTGTTTGCTTATGGCGTCAGATGCACAGCCATCTTCTTTAATCTGTCCTTTTCTATCACCTTGACGGTATTTGCTGGTAATGTCCGCCAACAGTGCTAGAGCGGAATCGTCAGAGGAACCTGTACTCTGTATGTACTTTATGGACTGCTTTGCAGATGCCACTTCCTCCAATGTTTCGATGCCTTCCTCTTCTACTTCTATTGTGCCTTCAGCGATCTCCACCTCGATTTCAACAGGTTCTGATTCTGCACATGGCAATGACTCAGTGATAACATTTGAAGTTTCTGCAATCTTTCTTTTTTTTGCCTCATTTTTTCCTGTGGTATTTTCCTCTAGTGGAGCTGAGTTTTCTTTGTTTCTGAAATACAGAGTGTATGAGTTTTAAAAATCTGAAAGCTCAATATCTCAGCAGGTTTCTTTAAAGAAATTGATAAAATTGATAAAAATTTATATGGAAAGACAGAAAAAACTGGAAGGCCTATACTGATTTTAATACTTCTAAAACCTATAGTAATTAAGACAATTAATACTGGTGAAAGTATAGATATTCAAGGATTAGTGGAACAAAATAAATTCAGAAATAGACCCACACTTATAGAATTAAGTAACTTTGGGAAAAAGGTTCAAAAGTAATTCAATGGAAAACAGGTAATGTTTTAAAAGTGGTGCCGGAACATCTAGTATCTGTATGGGAAAAATAAACCTCAATACTTACCTCACACTATACACCAAAAATTAACTCAAAATGAATCACAGACTTAAATGTAAGAACTGAAACTGTTTAGAAGAAAACAGGAGAAAATAATGGGGCAGCAAATGTCCAGGATTAAGGTATACTTAAAAAAAAAAAAAAAAAAGGTAACCACAATATAAGCTAAACTTGAGTCAATCTAAAAGGTGTAGACCTTGTACTCCCAACTGGAAAGCAACATGGAAGGGTCTCCTGAACCAAGGAATTCTCAAAGCTAACACAGATGGTGTCAGCTGTGATAATCCTGCAGCTGATATTGAGGTCTTTGGGTTGGCTGAAAACACTGGAGGTTTGGTTGAGTCACATGCAGCTTCTGTGCTGCTTGAAACCAAAAGGTAATGTTCCTTGCTTACTGGAACACAGTCACTTTCTCCCCCTCCTCCACCCTCTTCACTTTCCCTTTATCTTGACTTTAGCTGCTTTTAAGGAGAAACAAAAATCAGTGATGGAATCAAAGCCTCCCTGTTCTCACGGGAGGCTAAGGGCAATACAGAGTCATTCAAGCATATTGGAGGAAACTCAACACAAAGGACTCAAACTTCTGAAGCTCAAGTTATATTTGGGTGTCCAACCCACCATCCTACCTGGTTCCCTGGGAGAGGAGGCACTCACATTCAAGTAATGGGGTGTGGGATGGCTCAGAGCAGGACAGGGAAGCTATCATGACTGGGGGATGAAGCTGATTTTATGCACTATTGTTTCAGTATCTGAACATACAGGAGGAAGCAGTTAAACTTCCCTGTCCCACAGGAATCACTACTGGAAGAACTACATGCAAAGAGCTAGAAGAACAAGGAAACAGACTTCTGTGACATTGCTGACGGTGGGAGGATCAGGTCTCACAGTACGTCTCTGATGCTGAAGTTTGTTATGCTGATGATGTCCTGTTGACTGGTAAGTCAAAGTATCTCAAAGAGTTTCAAGCTTCTGTTCAGCAGGGGTTGCTGATAAACCCCAACAAAATTCAGGGGCCAACTCACCATGTGAAGGTTTTTAGATCTGATCTGGTAGATTCACAGTGCTCAATCCCTCCAACAGTCAAGGAAAAACTCCTTCATCTTCCCTTCTCTCAATAAAAAATGAGGTCCAGAATCAAAACTTTTGGGGAACTGAAAACATTCTACTTTATCCTTGACATCATCTATTCACCAGCATCATTTAAATGGGGCTCCAACAAACAGGCTGTGTTAGAAGCTGTCTGTAAAACAGCAGCACATTCTCTACCTTTGGGGGTTCCACAACACTGAGGTTACAAGTCCCTTAGGACTAATGCTTTTGTGATTACAGCTTCTGGCAAAGGGAAGAAGCCTTCATTTGAAGGTTATCTTTAGGTTTTGGACCTACCCCAGACATAGCTACAATGTCCACTCCCTTTTAAAAGAAACAGGCACGGTAGTTCACACTTGCAAATAGCAGTAGAATCAAGGTTTGAAACCAGTCTGGGCAAAAATTTTGCAAGACTTCAGCTCAAGGAAAAAGATAGGTGCATATCTGTCATTCTAGCTATGCAGAAAGCTTAAGTAGGAGAATTGGGGTCCAGGCCAGCCTGGGCAACAAATCCAAGACCCAATCTGAAAACTAATTAAAGCAAAAAAAGGGTAGGGGCATGGCTCAAGTGGTGAAGTGCTTGCCTAGCAAACATGAGGCTCCGAGTTAAAAAAAAAACAAACCCAGTATCACCACCAAAATAATAATAATAGGCTTGCTTTTGGGCTCTTTTTTGTAACTGATACCCATGGATTCATGGATGCCTTGAGGTTTTCTAATCTGATATTCCTATTTTAGGGGTTAGTCAACTCAGACGTCATGAGTAATAAGAGAAGTGCCCAACAAAGTACCATTTCTCAAATTGAAATGGTATATTTGAGAAAGCAACTGAGGTACCCAATCAGTGTACGGATGAGGATAGGGATTAGGACAGAGGAATGTATTACAAAACAAAGAAAGTTCAAAAGTGGTGGATATGTTTGTTCATTATCTTGGTGATAATGGCTTCACAAGCCAACTATATTGCACATTAAGACTCAAACCATTTATTTTAAATATGTGCCACTAATTGTACATATTAAACCTTATTAAAAACTCCAAAAATATTAAAAACACAATGATAATACATATATGTATACTTACATACTCCACCAGAATACCTAAAGCAGGAGTCAGCAAACTCTGACCTAAGTGCAGCCTATTTCATGTAATGGAAGTTTTATTAAAACACAGCCACACCCATTCATTTAGATTGTCTATGGCTGCCGTCAAGTCAATAGCAGAGCTAAGTAATCTCAACAGAGACTATATGGCACAAAGGCACTACATACCTTTAATAAAATGTTTCTTAAGGTTTTAAAAATAAAGCTTAGTAATACCCAGGATTGATGAGGATATGACAAAACTCACAATCTCCTGTGTTACAGGTGGGAATGTAAATAGCAGAACCACTTTTTTTTTTTTCCCCTCTAATGGTACTGAGGAGTGATTTGCCAGCATTTCTTCAGGAATAAAAGGTACTTGGCATTCCTTATTTGGAAAGTAATTAAGATCTACCTTTTTCTTTTAAAATAAAATCTACCAGTTTAAATGTCGACTTTTTATATTTCACTTTTCTGCCCATTTGTCTCTAAAATCTGCCAAAATAAATTTATTTTAAAATTCATGCTTAAAAAATAGAGATGACAAATACTGTCACTGATAGATAACTGCTATCTTAATATGGCCACTTTATTCATTAATATGAGATTGTAGTGGCCATATGTTCTTTAGGTTCAATCACCCAGATATGGGAGGTATTTTGTTTGTTTTAGTTTTTTATTTTATTTTTGTTTGAACTCATCCAGTCCACCAGCCCTAGATTTTTTTTTTTTTTTAAGACAAGGTCTCACTTTGTAGCCCAGGTTGGCTTGGAACTTGCCTCAACCTCCCAAGAGTTTGGATTACAGATGTGTCCAGAACCACTTTTTAAAAACTCCCAAATTGTTTTCTAAAGTTAATGTACACATACAACCTTACAACTCCTACTATAGATATTTACTAAGAGACATGGTATCAGATGTCCACCCAAACATTTGTATATGGCAGCATTGTTCTAATAGCTAAAAACTGAAAAACAACTTAAATGCCATCAGATAGAAAAATAAATTGGTATATACACACTATGGAATACTACTCAGTAATGAAAGGAACAAAATAACACAACATTATGAAAAAAAATCTTTACAACACAATGTAAGTGAAAAAAGTCGAATGTGAAAAGACTAAATGCAGTCTTGAGTTCATTCATATGGCTGTCTACAGAAAGTAAAACTACTATGATAAAATCACATCAGTGGTTGCTTGGAAATGGGAATCAAGATTAGTTTTCATCAGAAAACCTCCTAGGGAGATGGAAATATTTCTATACATTGTCATGGTGGAGGTGACACCACTATACATAAATGCCAAAATTCAAACTCTATAGTTAAAACAGGTGGATGGTTATATTATATACAAGTTATACTTCAACAGCTCGAAGAAGAAAAATCTATATGGCACATGCTGCTTTCTAATAAATAACAGGAACCTTTCTTATATAGTTTTAAGTAAATAATAGTGCAATTCCAGCAAAGCAAAATAGGCTCTACTATGTTTTCAGTGTCCTTCAAAAAGTTTACAGTAGGGCTGGCAGAGTGGCTGAAGTGGTCACTTGGGCATGATACCCAAGTTCAAACCCCAGTACCACACAAAAAAAACCTTAGTTTACACTATATTCAAAAAGATCAATTCTATACTGCAATGTGAGACTGTGAGAATACAAAAGACTTCTCAATAGAGTTCCACTCCCTCCAGTAGTCAATTTTACACAAGTAACTGTTATTACTAAATTATTTAGCCTTGTCTTTTTTTTTTTTGCAAAACTGTGGACACCCTGCCAAATCTGTGTCTTCCTTTTTTAGGGCAAATAAAGCCTTCACGTATTGATTTTTCTGGTCATTTCACTGATGACAAATATTTGCTCCATTAATATGAGATTACTGGTCCACTTTAGAAGGCTCCAATTCCACAAAAAAATGCTTTAACATCAACACAGTGTAATCCTTTGGAAGACATTTTAAAATAACAAACCAACTTGTCTATTATTAATGGAAATCACGACGACAATTAAATTGAAACTAAGTATAATGATACTGCATGATCACTCACTTTAAAAGTGATAGCCTTCTTTAAAAGATGTTAATGAGAAAAAAGAAATGTGCTTCTTACATTAATAAAATATTACTAAATTTTGTTCTTTTTAAGTACAAGTGTTGAAGTAAATTGTAAAAAGTACTTCTTAACCAGCCTACTTAAGCTTGGTGAACAGATCCCTGCCCTAAATACCAATAATTAAAGTATAACAAAAAGTGCTGCTACCAGGTTTTTGTTTTGTAGAATTGGATAAACCAAACTATACTCAGAGTTGAGTGAGATTTTAGATACCCAAATGAGTTGCCCAAGACACATGATTTTATGTGGTAGTGTTCAAACTCATCCAAATGCCTCCTCAAGATGAAAAATGCATAATCCCTAACAAAGGATGAAGTCTAATGGGGAAATGTAGGAACAATAACCATACAAATATTGCTTAAATGAAGAAGGTAAAAGATAAAAAAATATGTAAGTACCTAAAGTCAACCATCTTTAGAGCAGTCAGGCAAGGCTTTAAAGAACGAGTGGCTGGCTCTAGATCAAGACCAGAAAGATGAGTAAGATTCTGTTGATAAACAAACAGAAAGAAGGCATTCCAAACAAAGAATGGAACATATGCATAACGATATTACTTTGTGGCAGACACTGTTTAAAGTGCTTTATACATACTAATACATAAGACAGATCTAAAACAAGATAAAAATATTTGGAGATTTGATTTTACTCAGAGCTCAATCTTCAAATAATCCTAATCACAAGGCACATGTTAAAAACAAAACAAACAACAACAAAAAAACAGTGGTTGCTTATCATTGCAGGTACTGACAGAGGCATTACCAACTGGAGTTAGCAAGAGGCTGATGGAAACCTTAAAGGAAACAACTGGAAAATAAGATATCCATAGGGAACTCTGACAAGTTTTGACATATCCCAAGCAATCTAGAATGCCATGCACATGTACAGGGCTGTATGCCTGCCCAGGGATGACCTCAGAGAGCCCAAAGCTCTTACCTCATGTGACCTTGGAGTCTCTGCACTTAAGGAAGTAAAGGCTAAGCAGAGTGGTAAACTGCATGATGGTACACTGATGACATGCCTCAAAACAAAGCTCCACAACAAAGGTGGGGACCCTTACTGGTTCAGGCTTTTAAGAAAATCCGTCTAAATCGTCAGATGACCACTAGGTTAACTTAGAAGAAACTTCAATGGTCTCACATACACAAAGAACATGGACTTCAAAGAAGTAATCCAAGAGTCACTACACAAACAGTAACAACCAAGTATGCTGGGGACAGGGAGGGACAAATCTGAATATCAGCCTTGACATGTTACTTAAAATATCAAATATTCAACCAAAAAATTATGTTCACTGTTATGAAACAGTGCAGTATGGTTCATAAACAGAAATAAAGTCATAAATGCTCTCCCTACAGAAGTCCAAACTTTGTATTATTGTAGCAGCTAATATGTAAATACTATTGTCTTCCTGTACATTGCATATCTATCTGGTTCACAAAACAATTCCACATATTATTGTATTTATAGTGAAAAGTACTGAGGAATTACCTCCCATACACTATACAGGGGAACACCATTAAATGCTTCTTAAATCCAAAATTAGGCCACTGTTACAGAATATGTTCCACTGTTTGATGCTAAGACCTTTCTACTCACAACCATCAATAGTAAAGAGGTCACACAAAACATTTTTTAGAAAGTTCTCATCTAAGATTTAACCAAAAATTTGAAATTGCCACATCTATATCGATTTGTCTACCTCAATTTTGAAAAGGGATGGACTAATTAGGTATACATTCCTCCACACATACCTTGATTTTGCTACTTAAGTTCAGCTCTCTCTACAGGAAGAACACTAATCTAGTTCAGAATGACACACATGCATCCATCTGTCCATTCACATATGTTTTCTACACATCTATGTGCCAAATGAATCAGAGAATATATGCAATGTCAAGTTCTTATCAGAAAAACTCAAAATTAACTGTCAAAATGAAAGGATATTTATGGACAATAAAAATTTAATTATCTCTTAAAATTATTCTCAATTTTATCTTTTGACTAAATGATACCAGTGAGTTGGAGTAAATCATTTTGTCCCCTCCTGAAAAGGACCTTACGAACTGGTTTGGTGTCACACCGATGACCTATATTGAGGGTCATCATAAAAAATAAAAAAGTAGTACCAGGAGATAATAGTAATAGTCCACACACTTAAGAGTAGTACATACCAGGCATTTAACACTCACAAGCAATTCTATGTACAAAGTATCCTTATACCCACTTAACAAATAAGGCCACTGAGATGACAGGAGGTTGAATAACTTCTTTAAGGCCACACAGTGAACTAGGATATTAACTCAGACAGAATGACTTTTGATCTTAGTCACTTTGTAATTTTACATTGCCCCTATTCATTATGTGAAGATGCTGAGGTCTTTGTTCATTGTATCTTTTAATGTTTTCTTAATACATCCTAGAAAAAATTTTGTGTTTTAATACCAGGAATGTCTCCTAAACAAGTGATTTGTTCTCATCCTACAACAATAAATAATGCAGCAAAACACTGTATTTTCTTTGCATTAGGTACTTCAGAACTGAGAGCTAGATTCAACCCATCAAGCCAATGTATAGACTTAAATGGAATGCATTTGGAGTGTATTTCTAATGTAGCTAATTATCTTCTTGATCTCAGCTGGCATATTTATTTTATCTTAACCAATTTCTTTACTTATTTTTAAACAGTAATATGTTAGCTTTTGTAAGCCAAACCGTCTGAGAATATGGCTTGGTACAAATAATTTACAATCTGAATCCAACAAAACAGTTTATACAGGAGCTGCCAAATGTTCTTCTTTTATTAGATACCAAGGATGACATTTTAATCTTAGCAATTTTTTTACAAAGAAATCAAATGCAAATGAAAAAACAATGTGCACGCAGAGAATTTTACAGATCCTTAAATACCCTGGAGGTACTGGGGTTTGAACTCAGCCTTGTGGTTGCAAGGCAGGTGCTCTGCCATTTGAGCCACCCCTCCCCACCCACCCATTTTTGCATTTACTTACTTTTCAAATAGGGTCTCATATTTTTGCCCGGAGCCAGCCTCAAACTGCAATCCTTCTACCTATGCCTTGGGCACAGTTGGGATTACAAACTCATCATTACACTCAGCTTGTTGGCTAAGATGAGGTCTTGTTAACTTTGCCTGGGCTGGCCTCAAACTGAGACCAACAACTATTCTCCACCTCCTATATAACTGGGATTACAGGTGTGTGCCATGGACCCAGCCCTGGATTCTTAAATATTCCCAATTTCATAATGTTGAATATGCCTGAAAATGAGTATCTGCACCTCACTAAAGAAATAATTACCTGACTTCAAGGGCTTTGATAGCTTCTAGCATTTGTAGAAATTCTGCTGCTTTCCATACATCATTGGCTTCTTCTTCTCCTTGTATCATTAATTTTGCTGTATATGTGAACTCAATTAAATGACGAAAGGCCATTTTACTAACACCTGTAAAGAAGATGTACATTATTGAACAGTCACATTAATTTATACCTTACCATTAATGAACAAGTGCCTGAAATCTGATAAAAATTTGTCATTGCTCTAATTTCCTAGGAGAATTCTCATTAACAGCACAATTAATGCTATCACACTACTTAGCAAACTACTTTCAGATCTTTCCCAAGGATTTCTGAAGGTCCTTAGAGAGCACTAAGCCTGTTACTCAGAGAGTGTGGACTAGGCAGTACATGTCAGACATGGTGCATTTCCTGCTACGGAGATTACAGTCTTGTCAACTCAGCTCCAAAGTCTTTCCACAGTGTGCCAAATAAAGTTCAGTACTGCTGTGTCTATTTCAAGACTTTTCACATTACTTTTCCAAATTTTCAACTACAAACACAAATTATACACTGTTACTCAAACAAATCTCATGATTTCTAATAGCCTTTATTAACACTTATTCTCTTTGAATGGCTAATCAGTGTTATCTCTGAGTAGACAAATCCTACTTACTATCTTTGAAGGCCCAACTCTGATGCCAAATCTTCAATGAAACTTTTATTTTATTGTAGTAAAAAAAAAAAAAGATGAGAGGGAGGGGGCAGGTGGGAGAAATGGCCCAAACAATGTATACACATGAATAAATGAATAAAGAAAAGAAAAGATCTATTCTCTTGACAAACTTGAAGTGTATAAGATATTATTGCTGGCTGTTGGTACAACAGCAGATTTCTAGTGCTTATTTGTCTTTGTTTTTCCTGGCTTTGTGCCTGGTGATTAGATAACTGCCTGTTTCTACCTCCCTCCAGTCCATGCTAGTCTCCATTCTTTTCCTCTACTCTATGAATTTGATGATTTAGATATTTCATTTAGCATGTCTTCAATGCTCATCCATGTTGATATGGCAGATTTTTTTGCCACATTTAAAAAAAAGCTGAATAGTATTCTATTTTGTGAGTATACACATTTCTTTATCCACTCATTTGTCAATGAACATTTAAGTTGTTTTCATATCCTGACTACCATAAATAGTGTTGCAAAGAGCATAAAAATGTATTTTTTTGAGATCTTGATTTCAGTTCTTTTGGATAACTGCCCAGAAGTGAGACTGCTAATTATATGGTGCTACGGTTTGAATATGAAGTCTCTCTCAAAAAAACTTATGTGTTGGCCAAGCACAATGGCTCATGCCTGTAATCCCAACTACACGGGAGGTGGAAATCAAGAGGATTGTGGCTCTGGGCCAGCCCAGGCAAAAAGTTAGTGAGACTCCATCTCAACAACTTTAGCCAGGCATTGTGATATGTGCCTATGATGATAGCTATGCAAGCACAGGTAGGAGGACCATGGTCTGAGGCCAGTTTGAGCATAAACATGAAATCCTATCTAAAAAGTTACTAAAGCAAAAAGGGCTGGGGGGTGTGTCTCAAATGGTAGGGCCTGTGCCAAACCCCCGTACCAAAAAAAAAAAAAAAAAAAGGGTGCTATTGATAGGCCATTAGATCATAAAGATGCTTATTTCATAGCTGAATGGACTATTAGGAGATAGGGTCTGGTTGGAAGCAGGTCACTGAGAGCAGGACAGGGATATGTGATTTTGAGGGGTGTAGCTTGTTCCTAAACCCTTCCCCTCTTTCCCTCTTCTTCCTGGCTGCCACGAGGTGAATAGCTCTAGTTTCACCTCTGTGCCAAGATCCTCACCTGAGGATCTTGCCTCACCTGAGGCCAAGAAACATGAAAGGAAAGATGTACTGAAGCCTCTGAAACCACGAGCCAGGATAAATCTTTCCTCCTTTGTTTTCTAAAGTATTTTGTCACAGTGATGAAAAACTAACAAATATGGTTATTTCTACTTTTGATTTCTTAAAATACTTCCATACTGTTTCCCATAGTGGCCACACCCATTTCTACTAACTGTGTGAGGGTTCGCATTTCTCACCAACAATTGCTGTCTTTTATTGATAAAAGCCACCCTTGACAGATATAAGATGTTACTTACTATAGTTTTGATTTGCATTTCCCTGACAATTAGTGACATGAAGCATCTTATCATAAACTTATTGGCCAATATCTTTGGATAAATGGCTATTCAAGTTCTTTGTTCATTTTTTTAATCAGGTAGTTATAAAAATAAAAACAGCCAGGCATGATAGTTCATACCTGTAATCCTATCTACTCAGGAGGCAGAGATGAGGAGGATTTCGGTTCAAAGCCAATCTGGGCTAAAAGTTCGTGAGACTCTATCTCAAATATATCCAACATAAAAAAGGGGTGGCAGAGTGGCTCAAGGGGCAGAGTGTCTGCCTAGCAAGCATGAAGCCCTGTATTCAAACCCCAGCATTGCCCTCCCCCACAAAAAAACCAATTATGAGTTGCAAGAGTTTCTTATATATTTTGGGATTAACCCCTTATGAGATATTTTGTTTACAAATTATTTTCTCCTATTCTGTAGGTTGCCTTTTTACTGTTGTTTCCTTTACTGTACAAAAGCTTTTCAATTTCATGTAATCCCACTTGTCCATATTTTTTGTTGTTGTTGGCTGTACTTTTGATGTCATATCCATGAAATGTTGAACTATGCCCAAGGCTTGTTCTTCATCTATCTAGATGATCATGTGATTTTTATCCCTTTATGTCAATGTAGTATATTGCACTGAATTCTGTATCTTAGAAAGATTCTTGCATTCCAGGAATAAATCTTACTTGGTCATCGTGTATAATCCTTTATATACTGTTGGATCTGGTTTACTAGTGTTTTGTTCAAGATTCTTACAACTATATTCATGGGAATTATTGGCCTATGGTTTCCTTTTTTTGTGGTTTCTTCATCTTGCTTTGGTGTCTGAGTAATGCTGGTCTCATAAATGAATTAGGAAGTGTTCCTTCTTTATTTTTTTGGAAGGCTTTAAGAAGGAATGGCATTAGTTCTTCTTAAATGGTTGATTTCACTAGTGAAACCTGATGTTTTCTTTATTGGGAGGTTTCTGATAACTGATTAATCTCCAAAGTAGGTCTGTTCAGACTGTTCGTCATTTAATAACACCACCTCCTTTATTACATCTCTGCCCAACTCTGTACCTTTCCTATAAATACAATTTATGGGCATCTTGACTATATCCTAGTTGAGAGACATAATTCTTGATCTGTATGCTCACCTCACATTACCTAACAGTGCTTCCTTAATGCAGGTACATAAAACAGGAATAAATGCTCAAAGTTAACTTGCATTCTATGATTCCCACTTTTCTTTAGAATTTCTGTTTTTGAAATCTAATTCCAAAGCGGTACTCTATTTTTTATGTACTTAATACTATATATTATTATTCCATCTGCTAAAACCAGACAATAAGACGCTATTAAAAGGAACAAAGAGAAAATTACTTTTAACACAAATTTTCAGATCAAGAAACATTCAAGTCCAAGCTGTACACAGTATATACAGTTGCAGACCACAAAAATATTTTTATGTTCTTTCCATTCACTTTATATATCTAAATGTGGCCTTTCAAACAATGGTAAGAATATTGGTGGAATATTCACTTAAGTGTTCAAAGGAGTAACCTCTATTTGTATAAAGGATACCATTCAGGGAGTTAGAACTTTCTAGTTAAAACTAGCTCTTCAAAAAGTTGTGATTTATGGCAAGATAGGACCTCTGAGCCTCAAAAGATTCATCTTTAAAATGTCTGAAAGCAATTTGAATATTGAGAAACAGCCTACCATCATACCACCCTGAGTGTGCCCAACCTCGTCTGAATATTGAGAAACATTATAAAATGTATTACCAAGTTACATGCTACCAAGATAGCGAACTCCAACAACTGAATTAACCCTAGAATAACTCTAGGTAGGGGCTCTACCACTTGAGCCATGTTCCTAGTCCAACTCTAAATGAATTCATAAAGGCTAATTTTATTTGGTTCCCTGAATCTTTTTTTCTCCTTGCTCTCTGTTGATCATACTTTTCTAAGGAAGATGACAATTAGGTTTTTTAAGAGTTTTGTCCAGAAGTTTACAAGGACAACCAAAGTCCTTTCTAAAAATAATATCTGAATGTTCCTCAAGTAAAATGAGGTTTTGATTTTTAATCAAATACGCTTATGCTACTTACTAGATATCAGGCATAGCACTAATACAAGTATTAATTGAATCCTCATAACAACTCCACAAAATACAGACATTAAGTGATAAAAACTTGGATCAAACACAAAGTAGTTGGGTAAGTAATGAAAAATTGTTTTTTAAATAAGAAGATGAAGGGACAGACTTTTTAATCTTTTCCCTCCTGGCTGGAGGTGTGGCTCAAATGGTAGAGCACCTGTCTTGCAAGCCCTGAGTTTAAACCCCAGTACTGCCAAAACACAAACACATACACACTAAACTTTTCCTTCCTATTTGGAAAAGTCTGAATATCCAGTCTGTTTACTACATGTCTACAATATTTTATTCATAATTTTAAAGTCTCCCAAATCTCTCATTTCCCTCCATGTAGGTATACCACTTTAGATTTTCTGGGAAGGTGGGACAGGTGAATTACTGCTTATTCTTCTAATTTATATCTTGACTTTTTTTTCCCCTTGCATAGTGCTAGAGATCAAACACAAGGCCTTACTCGTGCTAGGGAAGCACTGTACCAACAAGCTACAGTTCCATCAACCCCACATTTTAACTTTTATTGATATTTTTTATCAGAAAGGTTTTCCCGAGCCTTTAGCAGGACTCACACATTATGGATTTGTACTATTTTAGATAGAAAAATTTAATACTACTAAGAATTCAAATAAACAAGGTGCAGTGACACACAACTATAGTACTTGGGAGGCTGAGGCAGGACGGTCATGAGCTCAAGGTCAGCTCAAGGCTATACAGAGCGACTCTGTTTCAAAAAAAATAAGCAAAAAAAAACCAAAACACCAAAAACTCAAATATATTAGGATTACATTACCCTTCCTCTGCTTTATTGTACATGGCCAAAGGTCTGTTTGACAATCTCTGCAGTGATCAGG